GGCTAAAATTCTTGTACATGTAAAGAAGCAAGTTTATGGTGAAAATGTTATGTATATTTAACACACATATGCATATATAATTGTTACCATTTTATACATACTCTTTTTGATAGTGCTTACGGAGACAGTTTCTAAAAAAAACAAGATTTTCAAGCTTCCTACTCAATTCGTGCAATTTAATATTTGTGAATTATCATGTAAATGAAATGTTTATGAATGAAATATTGTTTAAACTAAACAATTTGAGTTAATACATTGGAAAAGTAAGGAATCGAACCCGTGACTTCTAGACTGAAACATCGAACATGGAATTCTGGCATCGCTTGTCGAGGCGTGAGATCGGACCCCGCCAGCGGTCATCCCATGTTTCCTTGAGCAAGAAACTGACATTGTTACATGTGTTATGCTTAAAGTTATTTATAAGTTTTATATTAGTCTATCAATAACTGGAACTACAAGGAAAAATTCAAGCATGCCGACACAGATATGTAATGGATACAGTTCGAGATTTCCTTCAAAAGTGTCTTCTTACAGACATAAGAAGACAATTTGAAGAAAATACGAGTAGTTTTATCTGAATTATACGACATTTAATTGTAAAGAACCGATTAATTAATAAACACATTTAATTCTAAATAGATCTGGATTCACGTTGAAAATATAAAGCTAAAACTATTTGCATGGGCTTTAATCTTTGGGCAGTAGCAGGTGTAGATAAATTGTATTCGAACAGAACTTTCGTGCACCTAGTCAATCGGACAAAATTCACTTTCATTCATGATAAACAATGTTAAAATGGCTGTCATCAATTACTGTTGTTCTTTGTTTGTTTTTTATGTGTGTAGGGCGGTGGGAACAGTAAATGTCACTTGTGTCGCCTCTACAGAGTAGTGGCGACATAAAGGGATCACTTCTCCGTCGTCTGTCTGTCCGTCTGTATGGCTGTCCGTCCGTCTGTCCGTCCGTCACAAAACATGTCCGGACTACTCCTCATAAAGTACTGGTGCAATTTCATCCAAACTTTACAGGAATTATCAGTACCAAATCTAGTTGTGCACTGTCTGTCTGTCTGTCACAAAACTTGTCCCAACATGAAATTGGCCATCATGAGGCGACACATGTGATCACTGATCGCTCTTGTTATAGAATGTCAGACGATTTAAAAAAACAACTTAGTGGTGTACCATCTTCCAACAAACAACTGTTAGTTTCTTCAATGCTTAAATCGACAGTTACTTTGTTCTTGGAAATGGCCGTCCAATTTCTCGATGAACTGAATTTTCTCATGAGATGCGCACTACTTTCCATCGGTTTCGATAGTGTCCTGTTTGAGAAGTTAAAATATCGCCTGTTAAGATTGACTAAATCTCTTGTTTAGCTCAACTATTCGAAAAATAGGGGGAGCTATTGTAATTGTGAATTTTGGCCTATCGCCCTTATTGAAAATTCTTAAGGCTCTTGTTTTACTATCAAGCAGCGCATTGGCTCTTCTTAATAGATAAGAGGCGATATTTAACATTCTCTTTTGTGGACTTTCTCTATAGTCACTGGTACTGTCAATAAGTTACAGTTCTCGAATGAAACATGCGAAAATTAAGTTTAATCATCGCGAAGATTTTTATATTTCGATTCTCACGAGGCTTTAAGTAAAGCATGCCACAATTTAAATGTTGAATAGCGCGAAAAGTATCTTAAGAGAATGTAAAATCTTGCTACTTTATCTATTAAAATACAGAAAGGGCGACACAACTTTTAGAAAATATCGTGCATGTCAAAAGCAGTCCTTTAAAAGTCCCAAGAAGAACACCGTATATTTCAACTGTACTAAATCCACGTGGAAAGTAAAGGTTATTTAAAAGTGTCTTCTTACTAAAATGGCTGATTTGGAACGCTTTTGTGCGTTAACAAGCTAGCGCCAACACGACAAAGCGCCAAACGGCGCGTTGTCGGGCTTTCGTATTGTCGTCCTTTCGCTAACGATGTACGCCAAACGGCGCGTTGTCGTCTGGCGTGTTGTCGCAATATCACATTGTCGCTCGGTTCAAATCGGATGATTGGTTTATAAGCCAAACGACAGCGCCACATCACGCCACACAACAACGCACCGTTTGGCGTGCTGCGCTAGAGACAGGACGACATGACGAGAGCGCGACAATGCGCTGTTTAGCGCTTTGTCATGTTGTCGCTAGCAACAAAACGAAAATGCGATAACGATACCGACAACGCAACGCGCAATGTACCAAATCAGCCACCATATCTTACAGACGTAAGAAAACACTTTTTTGAAAATCTCTGATAGGTGTATGGTCGTATAATAAATAATACAGGGAGGATAATTCTAGCACATAGTTACCATCTTCTTAAATTCAGTAACATGCGTAAGTTACGTGCCCAGTCAATTAAGTGATCCCTCGGAAGCATTAATCACAACAAAATAACATAGGAATTGCAGACTCGGTTTGATTGAGTCTGTATATGAGGGATAATAAATAAGTGTAACATCCCTCACGCCCCCTAGCACCGGCTTGAGCGGTACTCAATTCTCAACACTTCATAGTGTTGGCATAAATAATCCCGAAGGACCAGAAAATATAACAACACTGACGGGACAACTTTTTACGGCTGCCACACGGCACTTGACACCTGCTGTTGTGAAGTACAAAATTCTGGAAACAAAGTGATCCCTCGGAAGCATTAATCACAACAAAATAACATAAGAATTGCATACTCGGTTTGATTGAGTCTGTACATGAGGGATAATAAATAAGTGCAACATCCCTCACGCCCCCTAGCACCGGCTTGAGCGGTACTCAATTCTCAACACTTCATAGTATTGGCATCAATGATCCCAAAGGACCCGAAAATATAACAACACTGAAGTGAAGTAACAAAAACAAAAACCGGTATCTCCAAGTCAAAACAAGCTCTTGCTTTTGTCCGGGAATATACAAAAGCCTTCAATATTTCAAAATATTGTGCGGCAGATATGCAATTTATATGTGCATAAACAAGTAATGTTTTTTTTCATTATACACTAATTTTATCAAATGCACTTCGTCTGTTTTGATTAAATAAATGAAGACAGAAAATGTTAAATATCATGTATATGCCGGTTAGTACGGAGCCCCTAAGGTGACTTTTTCGAAAAAAAAATCCCGGCATTCAGTTCGTTTTTTCGAAATATTAGTTTGGTTTTACGAAATAATAATTCGATTTTACAAAATATTAATTCGTTTTTACGAAATAATAATTCGTGTTCACGAAATTATTATTCGTAATTACGAAATATTAATTCGTAATTACGAAATATTCATTCGTAATTACGAAATATTAATTCGTTTGTACGAAATAATAATTCGTTTTTACAAAATATTTATTCGTTTTTACTAAATACCAATTCGTTTTTACGAAATATTAATTCGTAATTACGAAATACTAATTCGTAATTACGATATATTTATTCGTTTTTACGAAACATTTATTCGTTTTTGCGAAATAATGATTCGTTTTTACGAAATCTTATTTAAGCTCATTGTGAGCTTGACAAAGAACCTACTAATCTCCCAAATAGGTCATTTACTAGCCTGGATCAACATTGCGATTATATGCCGAATGGTTCTCAAGTTGTTATATTTAGTGAACAGGGTTTTTGAATGAAAAGTCATTCTCTTTCCAAAATATCCTCTTTTTTCCCAGTGTCAAATACATGTGACTATCAGCAAAGACAGCAATGTTTTAACTTTTGAGGCAATCAATATTTTCTGACATGTTTCTATAAAATGTCATATGTCATATACATTAATGAGACAGAAAGGATGGGGCCTTCCAGATTTTCATTAATCTTATCAATTTGAAAAAAGTATGTTTCCTTACAATCTATGTATGTGATCATGAAACATAATAACTCAATAATATCGACTAAACGAACAAAAAAAAATGTCCGTGTTTGGATTTGAAGCACAGAGCCCCAATTTTAACAAAATTTTCATAGCGCGTGTACTATCACGGCTGTGGCGGCAACGCTATTGACATGTGGTTATTTTAATATATACAGTAGTGTTTAGTTATAAAACTTGGGCAGAAAAAAAATCACTATTTGTATTGCATTTACATGACTTACATTAAGTCAGGAACCTAGTTTCGAGGCTTTCTTTATTCACATTACCAAAACTCTTTTGAACCCTAGAAAAGAATTAAAATCGTTTTGACGAAATATTATTTCGTATTTACGAATTATTGTTTCGTAATTATGAAATAAAATTTCGTGAAAACGAATTGATGTTTCGTAATTACGAATTAGTATTTCATAATTACGAATTACTATTTCTTAAAAACGAATTAATATTTCGTAAAAACGAAATAATATTTCGTAATTACGAATTATTATTTCGTAATAACGAATTAATATTTCGTAAAATCGAATTAAGTTCCGGGAAAAGGTCACATTAGGGGCTCCGTAGATTAGGATACTTCATTACCCTATAATCAATTCAAATAAAACAATCTATTCAATGATAATCTTGAAGCCGACGACTCTTACTTAACGTTTTGTTTTTGTTGTATGGTTACCACACACCTCACACACATCATATATATACTACAACGTTATGTATTTGTTACACATACAATTATAATATTACACATTTATTTTTTCTGTATAGCATACAAAGTCGTATCCTTAAGCATAAATCATTGCAGTTAACTAGCTTCTGATTAATCTCAGTACATATTAAAACATGTATATTGAAAGATATGTCACTGAAAATTATTTTTCTACTCTCTTTTCAGAACTTCAAGGCGAACTGATTAAATTTTACAGAAAAAGATGTAGCACAATACCTCTCTCACCGCTTCTTGAAGAAATAGAGACACCTCTAGCTGGGTTCTACGTGATGCCAGATATAGTCGCCGTAAAACAGAAGTCCCTAATTTTTGTCATGAAGAGGAAAGAACACCGGATCAATCTTTGAGAAAGAAACCTGTTTTCAACCGGAAAGTAGAGATCAGCAAGAAATTTATCTATCAGCTGATGCAGGCTTTGGAAAAACTTCTTTCTCAAAATATCTTGCTATCACGTGGTGTCAGGCTCATTGTCACGATGAAAACTACGCCTGTTTTAAGGATGACGAGTTAAAGACGTTATTTGACTTTAAGTTCTTATTTTTGGTTTTATTAAGAGACTGTACCTCTGTTTGTAACATTGACGATATGATTGAACAGCAAATTACTAAGAAACTTCCTTCATCAACATCACTAGACGAAGTTTTATGTAAAGAAAAATGCTTGATTGTATTGGACGGTCTTGATGAATGGACTCACCCAGATAACAGTTGTTGCGAAGTCACAGAAAAAATCCCACATCGGTACGTACGTGATAATTGCGTTATCCTAACAACAACTCGACCATGGAAGCTTGGAGTTTCAAATCTCAAAACAAGTCAAATAAACAAAAAAGTAGAATTGGTTCAATTAAGTGCAAATTCTACGCGGCAATTGGAGGAAAATGCTATAAGAAAAATGACAGGTATCCATAACGATAGAGTATTGTATCGTAAAACACGGAACTTTAATAAAGTGATACGTGACCGTGGCCTAAAGCACATGCAAGTGATTCCACTCCTTCTCATGTATATAGTTTGCTTATGGTGCAACAACATTCCTATAGGAAATTCAAAACATGAAATTTACACCAATATCATTGAATTTCTATTAGCGAGAACGTCAAAGAAACACCCGGAAGTTCAACCATCTTGTGAATCGTCTGCCAGTGAAGTTCCAGATTACTTCAAAAGTCATGAATTTTGTAAAAGGTTTTACAGTCTTATAACATCATTAGCAGAATTAGCTTACCAAACATTATTTAACGAAACCAGGGAAAACACGCTTGTATTTGATAGAACGATTGCTGAAAAATATATTAAAGCGGACGACATGAAATTAAGTCTTCTCTCAGGAATAATGTCTGAAAGTAGAAGTAAAACATTAATCCAAGAAATAATCAAAGTATCGTTTTCTCACAAATCAGTGCAAGAATTCTTTGCTGCAATATTTATAAGTTCTCAAATTGACGCTCATAAGACTGTTGTAGAAAAATGTAAAAATGTGCACGACATTCTGAACATGTCCGATGTTTTTGAATTTATATGTAAAATGAATGCTGACCGGATGTATGCTATATCAAATGATTTGATGTCTGTGATAAATGAAGACAAGGAAACATACGACTATAGAACTAGGACAGGCCATGAGAACATGTACAATAATCCATTGTATAACATACAGAAAAAGTTCGTGTCGTATTTAGAAAAAATGCCTGAAAGTGAAAATATTCAGTTATGTTTACAAGATTTCTTCATTAACAAGGACACCGAGGACAGTGCGCAGTTACAACGTTTGTTAAAACAAAATAAAACCAACATAAAATCACTTTATATAAACATCAGCGATACTGACGGCAGTTTACGTGAAATTATAGATTTATTCTCTCTCACAGATCTCAGTCATATACAGAAACTTTATTGTTGGGGTGGAATGAAGGAGGCTGAGATAAATCGGATAATGTTTTCCAGTTTACAGAACGTATATTTGTGGAGAGGTACATGGACAAATGCTGAGAAAAATCTAAGTAAAAACATGTCGCGATTACCATACCTACAATATTTATATATTAACCACTTCACGTTATCTCACACAATACTGGATACATTTTTCAACTTTATCTCCGGTCAAAAATCAATGAAAGAGTTAAGATTGTTGAGCTTAGATTGTAAAGAACATGGCGGCAATGATTGTATAAGATTGAACTTGGACGTGTCTACACATTCAAATCTATCAAATTTATATTTGGAGGAATTACCTTGGAGGCTACAATTAAATATATCAGCACCGTCATTAGTTTATGTTAGGTTGTGGGGAATCAATCTAGATGAAAGTTCATTGTTACTGTCACGTGACATATTGAATATTGAACGTGTGGTGCTAGGACATATAGAAATGTCTGCAGGGAATTTACAGAACTTTATTTCCGTGCTTGAAAATCTGCCACAGTCAGTTTCAATATTGATGTCCGCCATAAAACCGAAAATAGAATATGAACGTATTAGAGAAAATATTTTGAGTTCACAAACATTTCTTGTGATAAATGACGGATGGTTGGAGAACTTTGAGTTCATAACAATAAAAACAAGCAAGGAATAGACAAGAAAAAACATTGTAAAATAACTTTAAGAAATTTCTTCAATAATTTTAGATAATCAAATAGATAAAAACAGAATCCCTAAAGAAAGCCCAACACGGCAAAATTGAAAATGTTGCAGGCTCGGTTTGATTGAGCCTGTTCATGGACGGTACTGGAAAGTGCAAGTTACCGTCCACGCCCCCTAGCACCGGCTTAAGCAGAATTCAACATTTAAACATGAAATAGTAAAATTTTGAATTTAGAAACATCCGCAGATGTGTTCATACGGCGGTTATCATGGAACCTTCAATGTGACACTTCCGTGCCATTCCATGAAAAGCGGCGTATGGTCCCCAAGTAATAAAACGCGTGTGCCCTAAACGAGAAAACAATGGGCGGAACTAAATAAAATGGATTTTTGAAAGGGGATCGGAGGTTATGAAGCCTGCGTATCACAGATAAGACGTCAAAAGACAAATTTAAAAAGCAGGCAACATATCCTAAGGGTGATTCAACATTATTCAAGTAGGAATATTGGAACCACCCAACTAGAAAATGCCGAAAAGTAGAAACTAAAATACCACAAGCACAACAATAATGTCGTGCTGAACGATCTTCAAGGATCGAAAATATAACATCATTGATTAAATGTACGGGGAGACTTTTTACAGCCGCCACACGGCACAAATAACACGGATGTGTTAAAACATTTTAAAGATTGACACTCAGGAACAAAATGGCGACAATATAATATACACTATTAACTTTAATAAGGACATATATGTACTTCCGTTATTAATTTTTATATAACGGGACAGTCCTTTAAATTAAAACATTTAATTATCATTATTATTAAATAGAAAGTATGCTAGTAAGTTTTTGCAGGAAGATTAATGGATAAAAAAGTTAGTTAGAATGTGGAAATATTTCACAGGTAAGTCATTTTATACTAAATGTTTTATATTTATTTGTCATTATTCATGCATATGTAAGAACTGAAATAGGTAAATAACTGTACTTTCAACAACTTTAAGTGAAACATCAAGTATATTAAACAAATCAAAAACATGTATTTTAATATTTCCCATGACTTTTTATTATTTAATAAGACTTGATGTTCATGCCTTTTTAACAAAGACTTTAGACAGATTAATACAGATTGATACACATTGTATACGTGACAAGTATTTATGTATTAAATGGTACCACAACCTCTACCTTCTAGATTGATCCCCGGTATACATTTATATAGTTAAATATACATTGCTTGGGTTTGGGTTGTGCAAAGATGACTCTCCATAGATGTGCAAAAATGATATTTTTTGGTAAATTTTCTTCATTCTCAATACTTCCAAAAGTGTTATGTATCTATTATTTCTGGTAAGGTTTTTGTTGTTATGTCATACAATTAAGGTACGTACATGTATTTGCAATTTTATGTTAAAGTCTACTTAGTCTCTACATGTGAACCAAGCGTGTTCAAATTGATGATTTTCGTTTCATACTAAACATTATCTTATGTGCATATACTAAGTTTATACAAGCATAACCCCGGAGTAAAATAAGGCCAGGTCCCTTGGGGGATGGGGTTATTGGTCATAGTGACTTCCATACCTGCAACTGACTTTCCATAGCACCCAGTGACTTCAATAGCAACCATTGAATTCCCTTATCAACAATTGATTTCTATAGCAATTATTAACTTCCCAAAGAACCAGTGACTTCTATTGCATTAATTGACTTTCCGTAGCAACCACTGACTTTCAATTGTCACAATTTTATTTCAGAGCAGTTACTTGTTTTCAAAATAACAATGGAATGTTTATAAGAAAACAGAAACTCACAAAGCAACCCTTGACTTTCCAAAGTAACCCTTGACTTGACAAAAGCAACCAGTGATTTCCCAAAGTAGCATTTCACTCTCCAAAGTAACCCTTGACTTTTAAAAGCAAACAGTGAATTGAAAAGCATCTATTTGATTTCCTTAGCAACCTGTGTTTTTACAACCATTGACTTTCTATGAAAAACAGGGCAACATTATGTAAACGTAGGACTTTCCTAAGTTACAATTTACTATCATAGCAACCAATGACTTTCATAGAAACTACTAACTTCCATAGCAACCACTGATTTTTCTAAGCAATCCGTAATCATATAACTATACCTTGAACAGAAACCAGCTGTGACTTTCTTTTTGTGTTATTTAGAGCGTTTAAAATAATTATCAACTGAGTGATGTAAGAGCAATCATGGACTTCAACTATGTGTTGATATAAAAATAAAAATATAATGCTTTGCAATACTAACTTCATTATTTATAAAATTTGCATTTTTATCGCTTCAGTGGCCTTGGATCAATATTTCAAATTCTTTATGATAGAGAACCTCTCGTGATGTTCGACTTTATGATTTGTGTGGTGATAGATCAATTTCATTGAGATATGTTTTGAACAACTTTTTAAGGAAACAAAAAGTTCATGTTTCTAGGTAAGACTTTAAATTACCTATATTATTGACAGGTCAATAAAATAAATAATAGGTATGAAAGAATAAACTCAGATATGTCTTCCATAAAAATATGCAAACTATGACTTGAGGGGACGTTTTGAGGAAAATTGTTGAAAACTTTCTCAATTTTACTTTGGGTTCTTTAAGCTTAGTTTGTTTAAGACATCTAAAATGTAGTATGTTAAAAGTTAAAGTTGTTTAAGACAGATAGTTTATGGCAAATGTACATAATAGAAAGTGATAAGAAGTGTTGGAAAAAAGACAATAGCCTGGATCGCTGTATTTAAGACGTAATGAACGTTTCCTATATACCTGCATGAAATTTAAACATGATTTGTGTGGGAAGCCGACAAATTTCACGTAAACAAAACCCGCGTGTTTTTTTTATAAATTACTTTTTTAGAAATATTGAAAAAGATGATATACTGACTTTTGTATTCAATACAATTTTATTTATAAATATTAAAAAATAAAAGAAAATGAATAGAAACATTGTCTTGAGGGATAAGTATTGATTCGTGTCACAAGATTTTAGATGTTTTTTTTATTAATTATCATACATAAATCGGTATGAAAAGATAAAAAAGACCTTTTAAAGGTCATACCTTTGGACGAAAATGGAAAGATTTTAGCATTAAATCATTAAAGCGCCTTGTCCGGTATATACCAGAATACAGTATCACAGTGTGGTGCTTCACAGTTTTAATGACATATTTAATAAAATATTAATATTTTGATATTTTAAAATTAGATAGTAAAGAACGATATAGAATTTGTTTTGTCGCAAAATGTACAAGAATTGATTGGGACAAATGCAAATGAAAAATAATGTTAAATCAACGTTATTCTGGTTATGTTTCATTACAGGTGTGATCCAAAACTTTAATGCTGCATCAGAAGAAAAAAAGGACATTTTTTGCAGAGCAAAAGATTGTACGAGTATCTTATTACGCTGTCGTATTATTTACGAAACATTGGTTGTTTTACATAAAATAACGTGGATATCTACTCGAATCTAAATCATTTACATGTACTTCATCTTGCTGACAGAAGGTCCGTGGTTCTTTATGGCTATCAGCTCCTGCTTTAATACAGTTATTCAATTAAATATGCTGACGGAAGCTCCTTGTTCTATCCGGATAACAGCTCATGCCTTATTACAGTTATTCAATTAAATATGCTTACGGAAGCTCCGTGTTCAATCCGGATAACAGCTCATGCTTAAATACAGTTATTCAATTAAATATGCTAACGGAAGCTCCGTATTATATCCGGAGAACAGCTCATGCCTTGATACAGTTATTCAATTAAATATGCTAAAGGAAGCTCCGTGTTCTATCCGGATAACAGCTCATGCCTTAATACAGTTATTTAATTAAATATGCTAACGGAAGCTCCGTGTTCAATCCGGATAACAGCTTTTGCTATGATAAGTCAGTTGAATTTCCCGACGGAATATCCATGGTTCTACTCGCACATCAGTTTGTCTCCAGGTGGCTGACGGATGGTCCGTGGTACTCTCTGGATAACAGCTCGTGCCTTAATACAGTTATTCAATTAACTATGCTAGCGGAAGGTCCGTCGTTTTACTCGGATATTAGTTCATGCCTAAATAATTCATTTAAGTTTGCAGACGAAAGATCCGTGGTTTTACCAGAATATTAGATTGTGCCTTAATTATTCAGATAAGATTGCCGACGAAATGGCCGTGGTTAAATTCGCACACCAGTTTGTCTCTAAATAATTCGTTTTAGTTGGCTTACGGAATGTCAGTGGTTTTACTTGGATGTCACAAGTACCTAAGTAAATTTAATTCAGTTTGCAGAAGGTATGTTTATTTGATCCGGCAAGTCGCTCCTGTCAAAATCTTACCACGTGATATCCAGTGTTAATGTTTATCTACATAGTAAAAAACAGAACATAAAACGTCGGTGTTACTTTGACAATAAATACTAGTGTTAGAATAATATCCTGCTATCTATACTGCTACAAAATGTAATCTTATTACTGAATCATTTATCTTTTTCTTCATCTCTTTCCAGAAAATCAGCTTCAGTAAAACTGCATTGACAATGATGACAACGCTTCTACGATAATTAAATATTCTATATTTTAAAAACTTGACACAGACAAATGCACTTAAAGAAAATTGCTCTAACATAGTTTCGTATAATCTTCTGATTCATAGATTAACCGGAAACAGACTAGCAAACTTTGCATTGGTTATACCATTTACCTTTTTCTTCAATGGGAATTTACGTGTAAAAAGATATCACCACCAAGGCTGCTGTCAAATATATTCTTAGTTCCTTCAATAAATGGTTTGTGAATTATAGTAATACCGTAAAAAGTTTTTTTTAAAAATCAGGGTGAAACCATTTATTGATTTAAAAAAATCTTATTGAATTTATATTATTGTTTTATCCAATATGGATCATATAGTATAGAGGGATAAGCAACTACCTAGTGGATAAACTGTTTTCTGTTGGTGTCCAATTGACAGCCGATTTTCGATAGAGTTTAAATCATATATTTATGCCGCAATTGTAAAACAATACATTGACAAAAGTATAGTAAAGTTCATTAAGATACTAAAGGACGATTAAATATTTAACCATTTGCTTTATTCTTTTCTTTTTTACACTAATTACAACGGATAAAAATATACCCGTTTACAACTATCAAAAAGACAAAATGGCGACTGTTTGGTGGGTAAGATAACGTACATTGTATTGAGTCTCAAGTTGCTTGTCCCATTATATTTTGTCCTAGATCAAATGAAAACGGATGTTACATGTACATATGTACTGTATTATAATAGTTATTATCATTTTATTGAATTAGATATGCATGTATAAATTTGTTTAGCAATTTAAGAGTAAAATGATACAACAAGAACTATACGACAAAAGACGATTAAGATTTTTGTTAAATCTAACAAAGTATATACTTAAAGTCTAAGTCTTATAGTTGCATGTATTGAAATTTTGTAATGTAGTTTGATTTTGTTTTTCACTTTTTAATTTCTGCACAAAAAATTTCAATTGTAACATTAAGAAACTTTGAAAGGATGCTTCCAAAGGAAAATTTTATAAATTTGTACATGTTATAGTTTGCTTTTTGTGATATCTCAAATGATTTTTCAAATTTATATAATTGTACATAATATAGAAAGATTATAGATGTTTATTAATTGTATTATTAGTTATAACGATTTTGCCATGTTTCACTCGAGTAGTGTCCCGGGTTATGCATTTACAACTTTTTTATATAGGACATATAACCTGTGAAAAATCTTTATAACTTAGTACATTGTATATAACCCTTCAAAACCTCCTTATGAGATCCTTGCATTTAAGGAAATACAAATCATTATTTTGTTCTGCTTAGTTGTGTTTATCAGTAGAGGGTTTGTTTGTATTCATTAAAGGCCCATTAAGCTCCAAATAGCTAATTTTTCAAGTAACATTTCATTTTATGTCGTCAATTTTGGCCATTGTAAGTTTTAGATCTACTAATCTTTTTCTTCTTTCGCAATTTGTTTAATTATAGTGATTAAATATTTTGTATGAATGTCATCAAAATTATAGTGTTCACATGTTGCTACCTTTTAATACATAATTGAACATTTAACTTTTTAACAGGTTTCTAATGTTGTTTAACATCTAACATAGACTAGAGCGCTACTCTTTATCCATTTCTACATTTTATTGAACACATGTTTGACCTGTCTAACGAATGAACAAATACATAATTATGTCTCCCCCACCTCGGGGGGAGACATATTGTTTTTGCCCTGTCCGTCCGTCAGTCCGTCCGTCCGTCAGTCCGTCAGTCCGTCCGTCCATTCTTCGTTTCCGGACGATAACTAGAGTTCCTTTTGACCTACAGCCCTCAAACTTCATAGGATGATTGGTCTTATAGAGCTGATGATCCCTATTGTTTTTGGGGTCAGTAGGTCAAAGGTCAAGGTCACACTGACCGTTGGTCAATTTCTCGTTTCCGGATGATAACTAGAGTTCCTTTAGACCTACAGACCTCAAACTTCATAGGATGATTGGTCTTATTGAGCAGATGATCCCTATTGTTTTTGGGGTCAGTAGTTCAAAGGTCAAGGTCACAGTGACCGTTGGTCAATTTCTCGTTTCCGGATGATAACTAGAGTTCCTTTTGACCTACAGCCCTCAAACTTCATAGGATGATTGGTCTTATAGAGCAGATGATCCCTATTGTTTTTGGGGTCAGTAGGTCAAAGGTCAAGGTCACAGTGACCGTTGGTCAATTTCTCATTTCCGGATGATAACTAGAGTTCCTTTTGACCTACAACCCTCAAACTGGGGGGAGACATATTGTTTTTGCCCTGTCCGTCCGTCAGTCCGTCCGTCCGTCAGTCCGTCCGTCCATTCTTCGTTTCCGGACGATAACTAGAGTTCCTTTTGACCTACAGCTCTCAAACTTCATAGGATGAATGGTCTTATTGAGCAGATGAGCCCTATTGTTTTTGGGGTCAGTAGTTCAAAGGTCAAGGTCACAGTGACCGTTGGTCAATTTCTCGTTTCCGGATGATAACTAGAGTTCCTTTTGACCTACAGCCCTCAAACTCTGTATATAAACCTCCGTCATTGCCGATTAACTTGTTCCTTCAAAAGCTTACCCTTGTCTTGGAAAATTCACCAACAGAAAATTGCATAGTTCTAGGAGACTTCAACATTGACCTCATTCAATATTTAGAACATCCATTGACCCACACTATGTTACGACATCGCTTTAAACAAATAATAAACAAGGCTACTACAGCACACAACACACTTATTGACCATATCTACCAGAGAGGCTTGATTGTGAAAACGAGTGGAGTCATCCCAACACACTACAGTTATCATGATTTGACATACATTGAAATTTGAGTTGTCTTTCAATAGTGTAAAAAATCTGACAATATGAACGTTTGTTTCAAGTATCATCAAAATCCTTCAAAGGGTTGAAGAGTTATGGAGCAGACACAATTTCCTTTAATTTCGTTTGTGAAACTATATATGATATGACATTCAAGTGTCAAGTAGACCTTGACCTTGGAACCAGCCATACGAAACATGTACTCTACACGTTCTCTGGATGTGGTGAATTTTTGTTTCAAGTATCTACCAGAGAGGCTTCATTGTGAAAACGAGTGGAGTCATCCCAACACACTACAGTTATCATGATTTTACATACATTGTAATTTGAGTTGTCTTTCAATAGTGTAAAAAAATCTGACAATATGAACGTTTGTTTCAAGTATCATCAAAATCCTTTAAAGGTTTGAAGAATTATGGAGCAGACACAATTTCATTTAATTTCATTTGTGAAACTATATATGATATGACCATCAAGTGCAATTTCGTTTGACGCCCGCCTGCCATACGCTGATTGAATAACCAGGATTTTCAAAATTGAATACCTGGTTAAAAACAAACAGTTTAGGAAGCATCTTCTCATACAACCTAAACAATAGAAACCATCCATAGACAGCCTTCATTGAAGTGACTACCGGGTATTTACATTATCTTATCTCCATTTCCATTCCTGTTTCCATTCACAGTTATTCTCAGCAGTGGGGGAGACATGCGCTTTTTTACAAAAGCATCCTCTAGTTTTTATTCCTGATGCATTATGTGCCTTTAAGATACAAATTTGTACATAAAACCATTGTTTTCGAAATCCATGTTCTAGTCAGTTTTGATGGTTTTTTTTAAAGGCCCATAAGCCTTCAGAATGCTATCATTTTTATTTACAAAAACTTTATTTTAGGCATCTTTTAACAGTTTAGAACAAACATACTCATTTGCTATATAAGAATTATCTTTTGTATCCTTAATCTGTTGACAATTGGAATAATGATAGTGAATAAGCCACACATTTTTTTCTTCGTTAAAAATGCGGCAGTTGTATAAATGAATAATAAAAATGTCACAATTGACCAATGAAAAGCATTTTTAGAGACTGACGTATACTTACATTTTTTATATATTTTTTACTTTGATCATTTGCATTTAACTATATAGTAAATTTTTAGTTTCATTTTTACCCCTTTGCCCTTTAAACTCTAAGAGAGTAAAAAAATCATTATTTTTTCTAAAATCTGTTTGACAATAAAAAGGTTTGGGTAATGTATATTTTTAAATAAAAAAATGTTACAAAATTTTATAATTGATTTTTTAAAATTTTACTTTCAGTCAGTTTTGGGACATTTTTTGTGTATAAAAGCTATACAGTTTTTGTTTTAAACCGGGGGTTTTTTTTTTTAAAATTCCCTGAATATTTCTTTCTTATCTGTAAAGTATGTTTCTTTTTAAATTTTATATACATGTTTTTTGCATTTGGGGAAAAAAAAAGAAAAAAAAGGAGTATATATGTTCTTTTTACTTTTAAATTTTGTTATAAAAAGTTTTCAATTTTTACAAAAGAAAAAGAAAAACATTGAGAAGGATTAGACGTTAAAACGTTTCTATGACTCATTTCTTCTCTTCATCTAGGTGTATGTTTTGATTATCAGACAGATTGATATTTCAGGTTTATTGGGGTTTATTCAATGTATGTTTTCTCTTAGGAATGTAAAGGATCAGAGTTCAATGGTTAATAGATTTAGTATCCAGTTTAAAGCTTAACGCTTAATGTTAAGATATTGTGTGTATATCATTGTCAAGTTGACTACCCTCCAGTAAGCTAAAGCTCATTTGAGCGATCTTGGACCATTATGAACTCTTGTAATTTGTTTCAGAAATTGTTGTATATATGTATATAGTTTTCTTGATACGAATTTATATGATTTACAAAGATTTTTTTTTGTATTAAGAATTTAAAGAAATACAAAGACATTGTAAAGAATGTGTATACGTGAATCAGCGTGTTCCTTCGGTTGGCTTGCCAGTAGTCAAGTATTTTGTCCGAACAATAAATCAAAAAGTATAGAGAGTATCATGTTCAATATTTATGTATAAAGCTCATAAGGTGGAAGTGCTTTCCCTAAAAACTATAACTCCCTTATGAGATTTTGCGCATGATTTCTAACTTTCGCCGGAGCTTTACTCCGAATGTTTTGTCTGTATAAGGTTTCAACTCTGTAGATAAACATTGAATGCACTCGTGAAGAACAAAAACTCTTGTTTGCATACATTTTGAGTCACATTGTTTATTCCATTTTGTTAACATAATGGTTCGATGTATAACTGGGAAAGTTTAGTTTTATAGATGAATATACCTCATTTGGTTAAAGATATGTGCTCCATAGTCATTACTCGCTCATGGATGAGTTTGGAGTTATTGCCCTTCATATGTTTTCTTATTTTATTTTGTTCGGGGCAGAAGTTTTTTAAAAAGTAGCATCTCTGAAGTTCATAATGTTCTCAGCTAAATGTTATATATAAAATACATTGATTATGAACAAAATTGTCATGAAATTTATTTTAAATGATTTGAAATTTGTTTTACTTAAAATAAGAATGTTTTGTGATTCAAATTGAAACAAAGAGTTGAGTAATGTGCAGCTTATAACAATAATATTTCTCTGACGCATAGTTTTGGAGTTCGTGCCCTAACTATTAGTCAATGTGATATATGAGTATGAAATCTAATTAAAACCTCTTGGTAAAACGGCATATAGGGGTATTTGCACCCGGACAAGGTGGGTCAAGTTTTTTATTATAAAACTGAGGATAGATTTATTATAATCATGATTTATAATGTTGTTTTTGATTGGTAAATTGAAGATTATTTGTTCTAAAATTGATAATATAATACTGAGCTGCTAACCAGTGTGACATTAACAACATATACACATATATGTATTTTATTAAACACATTATAAATGATATTATGTTCATTTTTTTCCGATGCCAAAATAAGTTTATACGGACTTTTTTTTAAACTATTTACTGTTAAAATTGTGATTGACTAATAATAGATGATGATTAAAATGATTCGTATAAAATATACACGCTTACAAATTTAAAAGACTGCCCACTTGTTCAACGCTACCGATATATATCGAACGATTTTTATGGAAAAGTCCGTGGGTCAGATTGATTAATTATTATTTTAACACAGATATAGCAAAACGTTAAATTTTTATTTTACGTGAACATTGACTATTTACACTTAAATGGACATAATGTCATTTTAATATTGAAAATACATGAATTTAAGATGTGATCATTCAGAAGTACAATTGTAGAAAGGAAATAAATATGATATAACTATAATCTTTACACATTACCGTATAAAGAGAGATAATTATGTTCATTATATACCTATAAATTTTTTCCTTAAAATACACGCAAATCTTCAACGGATAGAAAATTCAGTATTATGTTAGTGACAAATACGTTACCATGCATATATAGAAGTACCGGACTATTTTTGACGTTGGTTCCGATCTTAGCTTTGTAAAACGTTGCATTTAAAACGGGTACCAAAATTATTTAAGGCGTGGCCGGTTTCGTATGAATTACGTATTCATCGGTTAATTATGAATATATTTCTTTACAACTACATTTCATTTTCTGAATAAAACGGAAATGTATATAATAAAAGGAAAATTATGATGTAGTACCTTTCTGAGGCTATGTATTTTTCTACTCGCAACGTTGGAAAATTGATTTCTCGCTCGACCAAGAAATCAATTTTCCACCGCTGCTCGTACCAAATAACAAAGCCTCAGAAAGCTACTACAACATAATAGTCCGTATGTATTTGCTATTGTAGTTATAAAAATGATACTGTTAGTACTGCTAAACAAAGATGTTTTGAGTGTTCATAGCATATTATGAAATTTTGAAATTGTGTTGAAATTTTATGTTATAATTTTATATAATATCATAGTTGATGTATGAAATAATAAAATGAAATTGTAAAGCAGCATTGATTTTGTTTTAGTTACTATATAGGTAAATTGGTTACGAGGTAAGATACCTTTAGCGTTTGCAGCTGCAGCCAATCTTGCGGAGTCTGAGTTCTCATGGAGATGTAATCATAACGTGGTACCAGTACTGGCTAGTCCAGGAAATTGAGTGCTATGATTGAATTCTTAAGTGTTTGCACAATTGACCTTATTTGTGCTTTAATACGGAAAAAGGTGTTGTACAGATGCAAAATAGTAAACAAGAAATGTAAAGATGGCTAAATTATGAAGGCTCAATAAATGAACCAGGGCAACAAGAAAAGAAACATATCATGTGACATAGAAATATGATCTAAATATAGATAGTCCTGGCCGCATAATAATAGTACCCTTTGATGAAGAAAGAAGGGAGAAGGCCAAGTCAATAACATCTCAAACAATGCTTCCTTCAAATAGGACCAAAACTTACCGTATTATAGAAGTACCAAATATAAGACGTAGAAAAAAACCTGGCCACATTATAGTAGTACCTAGACAAAAACTGACCGTATTATAGAAGTACCAATATATAAGACGTATAAAACCTTGCCGCATTATAATAGAATCAAGACAAAAACTGACCGTATTATAGAAATAGCAATATATAAGACGTAGAAAACCTGGCCGCATTATAATAGTACCAAGACAAAAACTGACCGTATTATAGAAGTACCAAAATATAAGACGTATAAAACCTGGCCGCATTATAATAGTACCAAGACAAAAACTGGCTGTATTATAGAAGTACCAATATATAAGACGTAAAAAACCTGGCAGCATTATAATAGAACCAAGACAAAAACTGACCGTATTATAGAAGTACCAATATATAAGATGTGTAAAACGTTGCCGCATTATAATAGTACCAAGACAAAAACTGACCGTATTATAGAAATACCAAAATATAAGACGTAGAAAACCTGGCCGCATTATAATAGAACCTTAGACAAAAACTGTCCGTATTATAGAAGTACCAATATATAAGACGTAGAAAACCTTGTCGCATTATAATAGTACCAAAAAAAACTGACAGTATCATAGAAGTACCAAAATATAAGATGTATAAGACCTTGCCGCAATATAATAGTACCAAGACAAAAACTGACCGTATTATAGAAGTACCAATATATAAGACGTATAAAACCTTGGCGCTTTATAATAGAACCAAGACAAATACTGACCGTATTATAGAAATACCAATATATAAGACGTAGAAAACCTGGCCGCATTATTATAGTACCAAAAAAAAACTGACCGTATTATAGAAGTACCAAAATATAAGATGTATAAGACCTTGCCGCATTATAATAGTACCAAGATTAAAACTGACCGTATTATAGAAGTACCAATATATAAGACGTAGAAAACATGGCCGCATTATAATAGTACCAAGACAAAAACTGACCGTATTATAGAAGTACCAATATATAAGACGTATAAAATCTGGCCGCATTATAATAGTACCAAGACAAAAACTGACCGTATTATAGAAGTACCAATATATAAGACGTAGAAAACCTAGCCACATTATAACAGTACCAAGACAAAAACTGACCGTATTATAGAAGTACCAACATATAAGACATATAAAACCTTGCCGCATTATAATAATACCAAGACAAAAAACTGACCGTATTATAGAAGTACCAATATATAAGAAGTAGAAAACCTAGCCACATTATTACAGTACCTAGACAAAAACTGACCGTATTATAGAAGTACCAATATATAAGATGTATAAAACCTGGCCGCGTTATAATAGTACCTAGACAAAAACTGACCGTATTTTAGAAGTACCAATATATAAGATGTATAAAACCTGGCCGCGTTATATTAATACCAAGACAAAAACTGACCGTATTATAGAAGTTCCAATATATAAGACGAAACCTTGCCACATTATAACAGTACCTATATATTAGAAAAAGATATTAAGCTGGTCGTAATATGGAGGTTTTTAGGTATTAGAATCAAAGCAAACACTTAG